CCCCGCATAGCCCCTTTAAGTACTGGGAGGCCACTCTAAGGTCTCCCCGGAGCCTTCTCTTCTTCAGCTGACCCCCCCCCAACTCTCTCAGCCTGTCCTCATATGAGAGTGTCTTTAATTTCCTACCCATCACCAGACTATGCAGTGTGGAATGTTTTGTGTAAAATGAGCTGTCCAGTGTCATGTGGGCATCTCTGGTGGGGTTGGGGAAAACAGATCCTGCAGTGAGATTTTTTAGCATCTTAGTCCTGAGGCATTTTTTCCAGTGCCTGCACTCTGACTGTTTTCTACACAACTTTTAAGTCTAGAGGAAATTAAATAACAACTCTGTGAAGAGCCAGTAATAAACACATACATGCAACTCAGAAAAATAAGAAAAACCTAGCCTACAGCCTGACAGCTGTCCAACTGCTGCTCTCTTTAAACACACAGAAAATTTCCTGACACAGCCTTTCACTGAGGAAATTATAATTCTTCCCTTCCAGTAATGCAGATTCAGTGATTGCTTTCCTAGCCTCTGACTTTGGTCAGGGACAAAAATAGGTATTTTGTGCATAGATTTCTTACGAGCAAGTTCTGAATTTGAATACACTTAATGTCTACTTTATTTCATCTAGCAAATCCTCATACTTCATCTTCCCTTGTAAAAAATGGGAATAAAGGGCTGTGTGATAATTAATGGACTGAGGGCTGTTCAGTTAAAACCAAGATCAGCAAATCTGAAAGTTCAGTTTAAGTGCTGCCTTACAATAAGGTGAAATACTTTAGGTGAACATCATCAGATAAAACAGAATATATGAAAAAACAGGCCAAGCTCAACTCCTAGCTATCTTTAGTCCATCTCAGAGTAGAAGTTTAGCTCAAACTAGACATTTAACACAGGCCTGTGAGAGGCTCAGAACATTCTTTAATTTGCAGATCAAGTTGATTTATAGGTTACAAGCACTTTTATACTGGTGTTACTTGTATGTCAGCCAGCACGCTGCTTTGAATATCCCATAAGTAAGACTAAATAAATCTGAAGGCGGCTATATGATTGGCTATACAAATATAAATGTGTGTATATATAAATATATACTTATATAACTGATTCCAAGCAATAGTTGTTAACGACTATGCTAAAGTGCTATACAGTATCTGTGTGGGATGAAACCGTGTGAGAGGATTCTATATGAACAATATACCTGAAGGCAAGAACTTTTTTTAAAAACAGTATTTCTTACAAAGGTGCTTTCTTACAGAGAGATGAAAATTGGTTTATGGCTATATTAGAATCTCATTTATTTATTGGTATGACCAACTTGATCTACCTGGAGCTTAGTGCCTTTGGCATTTATCTCAACATAGTAAAAAAAGAAAAAAAAATCTAAAAAACCCCATCACCCCAACAATTTGGTGAGTGCTTTAGCCAGGAGAAACTAGGGCAGTTTAAATGATGCAAAATATGCTGTTGTGTAATTAAGGAATTTTAGGCTCCTCTACAGTAACTGCCTGTTGTGCATGCTCTTATCACATGCTAGGTGAAAGCATGATAGTATCTCATGTGCCACAAAGGCCCAATGTAAATTACCTTGTGGTATTTGGTTCCTGTAAACTTGCTCTGCATGCAAAGCGTCTAAGGCAGGCTGAGTCATTTGCCTGTCACCAACAACCCTTCTCAGTGGAGGACGATGGCTTCAGTTCCTTGTCACTTCACAGAAATACAATTCCCTTAAGTGAAAATTTCACATTTATTGCCTGCCTTGTGCCATACTTTTAAGTTTCTGATGAAACAGTTTCCAAGGATGAGGCTAGGGAATAGCTGGACCAAATCCTCTTGCTGTTTTGCCAGGGTGGTGAAATCTGTACCTAATTTGTAGCTTTTTCTGTCTTTGCAGAAGTTCATCCCCCACACTAGTGCAGGATGTGGGTCGAGCTGTCTCGGTAAATGTTGCCAGTGGAAGATTAGCTGGAAGACTGAACCACTGAAAATGTAACAGACGGACTCCCCATGAGTTTTGAGCTATCCCCTGAGCAAAAGGCCATTGATCCTTTAACCCTCTTGCCTCTCTTTCACACGTCTCTGAGGTAGGATGTGTACTCTTCCTCCACAGGTAAGACACAGCAGTTGTTATTTTTATGGTAAAGGAGTGATACTTGTGCCATGGGAGCAAGAGTCATAGATAGTAGGAGAAGGCAGTGTCATCCCCACACCGCCTTGAGCATCACTTTGAAAGCACAGAGGCCCTGGGAAAGGAGAAGGTCAAGAGATCATGTATGAACAAGATGCAAAGCTATGCAAGTCTCGCAGCAACTTCTGTTCCTCCTGCTTGTGAGACTATGGGATGCCCTGTGCTTGTACTGCCTGTGTGCTCTGTTATATGCCCGAGGAGGTTCTTGCTGCCTGCAGGGCTGAGGGCTGGAGCTGTTGGAGGAACAGCTGTGCTTTCTTGCACAGGCAAGCGGTACCGTGGGCTATGGGGGTGTGCACCTACCCATTCAGAGGAGAGCCCCTCTGGGTAATAAACTCTGCAGAATGCAGTGCTTCTGCCACAGTGTGTGTGAGCAAACAGTGGCAGAATTAGGGTAGAAACAGCTAAATCAGGTGTTATTCCATAAGGTGCTAGCACCAAAGTAATGGCAGCAGTATCAGCAGCGGCCTCATGATGCTGTCCTGGGGCTGCTGCAGCACACAGGCACCAGCTGCCTGGATGCCAGTGCACAGAGCCATCGTCCTGCCGCGGACGGGTGGTGCCGAAGGAGCGTTGGACACCCTCAGGTCTCACACGCACCCTCCCGGGGCTCAGCAGAGTCACCCTCCTGCTGCCGGTTCCTGCACATTACCGGGGAAAACTGTGGGCTCCCGACCACAGCGAGCCCATGACAAGTTGCAGCTCATGGGGACAGCAGGGGCTCCTTTCCTCGCAGGACCAGCGTGGACAGTGCTAGGGAGCTGATGGCACAGGATCAATGAAACCCGACAGATTATTTAAAACTTTACAGAAAAACCATGTATCACATACACATAAGCTCTGCTGAGGACTTTGGGCTTGTGTAGTTTGGAGAGAAGGAAGCTGAAGGGTGACCGTGGGGCTCTCTGCAGCTTCCTGAGGAGGGGACGTGGAGAGGGAGATGCTGAGCCCTTCTCCCTGGCATCCAGGGACAGGACACCTGGGAATGGCTCAAAGCTGCGCCAGGGCAGCAGGTTCAGACCGGACAGGAGGAAGCGTTTCTGTCACCCACCACCGAGAGGGTGGTCAGACACTGGGACAGGCTTCCTGGAGAGGGGCCGGTGCCCCCAGCTCGCCAGTGCTACAGAGGCACTGGGAGAACGCCCTCAGCCGCAGGCCTCGGCTCGGCCGGCCCGGGGCACCTCGTCTGGCCTTGACCCCAGCGGCCCTCGGGTGCCGTAGGGCACGTTCAGTCTCAGCTCATCCCGGAGCGGCACGGGGCCGCTGCCCATCGGTCCCGCCTGGCAGCACGACGGCCTCAAGCCACGGGGACTTCTCAAGAGCGCCTTGGGCCTGGCAAAGCTAGGCCAAGGCTGCCCGGCCCAGCCCGGTGCGCGGCTCTCCCGTGTCAGCTGAGCTGGGAGGTAACTTACAAAAGAGGTCACAGAGCCCAGCGGTGACAGAACCCCAGGGAGCAACACAACACCCACCCTGCAAACAGCAACACTGTCTAACTATTCCCTGCAGACTAGAAGGAACAAAGGTAAAGGAACGCAGTTTCTTGGCATTATTTGCCTCAGATAAATGGCTAAAAAACAATACCTAGAGCAACAAGCAGAAGCACAAACACAAGTGTTACCCTTGGGCTGCGGCTGGTTGAGCGCTCGCTGGGAACCTGTGTGCTGCGCAGCCACAAGCAATACTAAATGGCTGGTGTGCAAACCGGTTACTGTACACAGAAATTTTTGAACAGTTCCTGCTGGATTTTTTAGTGGACTCGGCTGGGTTTGCTTTAGGTGAAAATGCTACCATCTGCTACAATTATATAATTAACCTTCATAGTTCAGGCTTAATGATGCTCATTAAGGTTGGGTGTTTTTATTGGCTGAGTGCTGTCACCAGTTCTGCATGGAATGGCAAAGGCAACTCTAAGGGCTGTAGTTTGAAGTATAATTAGCAATATATGAGTGTTACATGGGGGCATGGGGGAGGGAAGGCTGAGGACTAGGTGGGAGCTTCATTTTATTCTGTGCTAAGGCTGGAGTGGAATGAACAGAAGAGGTCTGTTGCATCTGGGTCACTATTAATAATCAGCTGCAGAGGGGCAGCAGCAAATTCGGAATACATGTGTCAGGACATCACGAGAGGATTCATCCACTGTAGGCTGTGCATCTTCCATTTCCTCAGTCAGACCTCCTCTGACCCCAATTCCCAATATTCCTTAATTTATTCTATCATTAGTTAATGAGTGTATTTTTGCCGCAGGCCTTTCTCAAACAGTTAAAAAGCAAATAAACTATTTAATTGGTGAAATACTCAGACTCAAAAACTATGTGGCTTAATCTGTGTAAGACTCTTAAAAGGTTAGATTGTGATGCCATTAAACATGCAACCACTGTTCACACTATGTCTAAGTACAGCTGTTCTCTGTCTAGATTTGTCCAAGAGGGATGTGTGTTTCCCCACCATTTTCCATGAGCTACCTCTCGTGCTCTAAAAGGTCAGACTCAACACCTCAAATACACATAGAAATAATCTGCATCACAAGGTATGTTACAATCGTCCATAACCCAACAATTTATTTAAACTTACATCACAATGAGAATCTATTAATAAAATACATCAGTTCACACCAGTCTGCATTGCCATTTTTTAAGGGTAAGCATCTTTCTTCACTTTA